GAAGATTCGTAGAATTTCTTTAAACGAAGATACGATTTTTCGCGACTTTTTGAGCCCTCAAACGACTCAGATTTTGGATAAAAACTTACATCGGGACGAAGCTGGAGCATTTCGCACACCCTCTTGTGGAGCTTGCTTTTGCTCTAACAAATGGTATTTTACCCCTATAAAAAATGTGAACTGTATGACTTATCGTCGTAAGAAGTTAGAGTGTCTCAAGACTTATGTTACAACCTAATAGAATGATATGATCAGGAGAGAGGGAAGGTAACTGATAGAAAGCAATAAGCAGATATATAGGGATAATTTTGATAATGAAAAAAGGCTCATTATGTCTGATGACAAAAGAAGTGCGAGATCATCGTGATAGCCTCTTTACGTGGAATGGTAAATTTACACACATGCACTCTAGAAGCTTCTACAGTTTTTGCCATGCGTGACGTTGCACAAGCAAGTACGAAGCAAGATGAATAATCAGCAAGCATAATAGGAAAGAACGATCTAGCCTAGGAACGGTGCAGAAACATCGCCAGTCTATGGTCGTAATATGGGAAGAAACTCCGAGAAAACTGAAATTGTCGCTCGGCAGACATAATTCAGTAAACTGCAGCTGGATCAGTGCCAAGTAAACCGCAGGAATAAACCTATAGTTGATACCTTGACGCACGGACTAGACATTGTGGAGCACGCGCCGCGAGGTAAAACGCCTGCCCCGGTACAAATTCGCCATGGCGCAAGTCGTGCTCTCGCGACAACTAAGCCGCTCCACGCGTGGTAGGCGTTTGAGCAGTCCGTGCGGTCAAAGAATCGACGATATTTTTGAAAGTTTGGTTAGTGAATTAGACGATAGAGGCATGCAGACATCATGCAAATCCTTGTGATGCAAAAAACGTGCAGTTTGTTTGGCTGTAATGGCTGCCAATCGAACTTCAACATTTTCCCCACGCAAGCTGAAAATTCAGGAAAAAACCAAAAAATAAGAAAAATTTTCTTTGCATGCCCCATGGAAATGGAATTCGGCTATTATAATGAGGTAAATATTGGGAAGCTCCTTTGCAGAAGCTGCATAATAAGGCCACATTCCATACCTACAATAACTGCTTAGTGAAATGGATAGGTAAATAGCATTATAGGCAGTGTCCCGGCAAAATTTCGCTCTCCGGTCTCTCGCCTTCGCGAAGCCTTCTCGCCATGCTTAAGCCATATCTGAGCTTTTCAGCGCTCGAAAACGGCGAAAATGAGCCTTTTCCAAAACTCTCCGTGTCTGCGTTCTCTCCAAATTACGTGTAAGAAGTGGGTAGAGTCTGGAAATGCGCGGCGTCCGTAAGACGTTCGGAGCGGATTTTGGGCTTCCCAAAAACGCTTCTTCGCTCCAAACGTCATCAATAGATTAGTTGGAGGGCCTACCGTGCAACACTGTAAAGTCCCGGTACCAATCATTTTGAGGAGAGGCTGCCTTTAAAGGCAGCGTCCAGGCAAATCTGGGCATATGGGGCTCTCACGTGGATTCTAGTTTTTTGGCCGTAACTAAGCCACTGCACAACCGGCAGCTGAGGTAGTGCTCTAACGGCTGAGATATTCGTTTCGAAACTGGACTCCGCGATCGTATTTCGCATGGATTCATGGCGCAACCCATGGGTCCTCGCGCGAAATTGATGGGTTGCGCCACGATTTTATGCGAAATACGATCCCGGGGTCCGGTTTCGAGGCGAAAGTCTCAGCCGTCAGTGCACTGCCTGAGCTGCCGGTTGGGCAGTGGCTTAGTGAGGGCCCCAAAGTAACATTCAAGTGAGAACCCCATAGTACAGATTTGCCTGGACGCTGCCTTTAAGCACACCAAAGATTAACGATTATAGCGCGAGTATGAGGGGATTGGCATCATCGTAGTGTCGCCGTCTTATCCCCATAAACATGTCGGTATTCGCGCAGCGATTACAATGGTGAAAATACGCACGCGCCGTTCGCGCCCGCGCAAATGATACTGCTTCTGCTCCTTCGTCCTGCAGTAGTCCTCTATAATCATTTGACAAAGAGATTTTATGCAAGAGAGATAACAGTCAAACCGTATTTACATACATATTTTGAGACCCCCTGTGTGTGCACGCCCAGTCGCCATAGTGAGGCGCAAAATAGATCTGAAAGCTGATGTTGAGTCACAAAAGACTACTTAATTTTTCCGTCAAGAGATATTTAAATGAGTAGTCCATATTCATTGATGAGATTGCGTTTGCGCTGAAAACAAGCCATTCAACATTGCAAATTCAAACGTTGGGAAAGGAAAATCTAGCTTATATCTGAAGCGATACACTTGTCTCTAGCTTTGTATTAGGTGGTACCAAAGTTCGTTCGCCAGTTTTTCAAAAAATCGTAACTTCTTTTCGACTCGATGGATTTCTTTGAGTTTATATTTATCTGGAAGAAGAGGCCACTCTCTTACAGGACTATCCATGCCATGGATTGTAATGAGAAAGTATAATTAAAAGCAAGTAAAAGAATATAGTCCAGACTTTCACTTATTGAGCAGGGTCACGAAAATTCTGGAAATATTTTTACTACATAGAGGGAATTATGTTCTTTATTATAGTTCCTTTTCCATGAATTGAAATGAAAAACATCGAGAGTTAAAAGCAAATAAAGAGATTTTGTTCAGTTATGCAACTTATGGGCATGCGCAGGAAAGCCTAAAAACGTCACAGAAAAGACGGGAAAGTTATGAACGTTTGAACCGACCGCCTCCTTCTAGCTGTGCGAAAATCGTGTCAGTCGGAAGCAATTTCGATTTTTGTGGACAAAGCAGACATGAAAATCAGAATTATTACGGAAATCAAAAATGGCTCTCGATTAGAACGATATTTACTCAGCAAGAAAGAGAAGGTCACAAAACCCATGTCCATGACTTTCCGTCTTTTCTGTGACGTCCTTAAGCTTTTTTGAGCATGCTCAAATATTGCAAAACTGAAGTTTCTTTATTTGCTTCTAACTCTCGGTTTTCTCGTTTTAATACATGAGCAAGACACTGTAGTAAAAAACATAATTTTCTCTATCGAACAAAAATGCTTCCAGAATTTTTTTGAACCTGCTTGAAAAATGCCAATCTTCAGTAATTTCCTTCACTTGCTTCACTCTCAAACTTCCCCATTCCAATTCATGGCAGAGGTAATGCTGTAAAGAAAATGATTCCTCCGTCAGATAAATAATAATAATAATGCAACTACAATTACATACTACGCGCATTTAAAACCACGAATGTCAAAACGCTCTTCCGCCTCTTCGTCACCTATGTGCAGCCTCTGTTGTAATATTGTACTCCTCTATGGTCCCCTTACAAGAAAGCCCAAATTGATGCCTTGGAACGAGTTCAACGATCATTTACATCTAGGATCTTTGCCCGGGCTAGAATGTTTCGACTGTCATACAAAACTAGGCTCTCCATACTCGCCGCGACCTCCCTTCGGTTTAGAAGAGTGATGTACGACCAAGATCTAGTCTTCAAAATTATGACTGGAAGAGTTGAGCTGAGAATGCAAGATTTTTTCAGACTGTCAACTTTTAACAATCTCACTAGAGGACACAACTTCAGGGTTGTAGTGGGAAAAGTTAGAACTAAGCAGTTCTTCAACTCCTTCGTAGTCAAAACTTGGAATGATCTCCCTGTGGAAGCTGTTACTGCGAGAAACACCTTCATTTTCAACAGAGAAGTTCAAAAATATTTGAAATCGCAAGGGTCATTCTGGTTTTTAATTGCAGAAGTGGAAGAAGTCGTTCCCCTTTGTCCTCTCAACAGCAGCACTCTAGCCGGTTTTGGTTCCTCTATCCAGAAGAGGAAATCGCACTATATGCTATTCCTTCTATTCTATTCCTTAGGAAAACATTTGAAAAAGAAAAAAAACCACTGCATAAGCCATACATCATTTCTTTTCTACCTCATTTCCCTTTCTCGGATGAACTATCCACCTCATGAAAGTTTCATTGATTTTCTGTCCGTTTTTTTTCTTGTTCTGTCTGCATGTCTTGCTGTCCCTTTGGAAATACTTTTTGATGGGGTATAGCCAGCTAGCCTCCGCTAGGCTCGCTGGCCTTCAAAAAAAAATGGGGACACAATTTCTGAGAGGCAGCAAGATTCCTCAGTCGACCGTGGATGTACTTTCTTTGCCTCAAAAGATATGATTCGTTGTCGACTTTATCAAATAAATAAATAAAAATAAAAATAAAAAAAATCCATCGAGTCGAAAAGAAGTTATGATTTTTTGAGTGTCTGGCGAACGACCTTTGGTCCCACCTCTCAGACAAATCATCGGAACTTCCGCAGGGCAAGCCAAATTTGCGGAAGTTCCGCAAGATTTTGTTCACTATTGCAAAATGGAAACGTTGAAAATCGGAAATTCCGCGGGAATTTCATGCCAAACTGGTTGAAAATCGGAACTTCCGCAGGGCCTTCTTCAAAATCCTGTGGAAATTCCGAAAAATGTCAGAAGTTCCGCAACACTTTGGCCTGCCAGGACTTCCGCAGGACTTTGAGTGTGTTGTCTCGTGATTTTGCCTCGCCAACAACTAGAGTGCGTTAACGAACATGTCAGTCGTAGCGTGGAGGATAGTAGGTGGGTCTCACAGTCAATAGAGTGAGGTTCAAATCTCGCTTCGGTGTTCTCTTTTGCTGTAGTGATTAGCATTCTTCGAAACTTCAGCAGGACCTCATTTAGGAACTTCCGCAGCACGCTTACTTCCGCAGGTGACCCGGCGGAACTTCCGCAAGCGCTCTGCGGAAGTTCCGGTCATTTGTCTGAGCTAATATGTACATGTAAAAAGATATCGCACGATATTCCCTATTTTCCACCCCAAAACAAAGTCCAGCACAGACCTGAGAAAATCAGATTGTGTTTCCTTGACAGCTACTAGACAGATGACGCTGATGAAATAGCAAAAAGCATTACTGCATAGAGCAAGAATACAAAACATTTATTAGAATATCGGCCTGGAGAAAGAAACAAAAAAAAAGCAATCTAAGATCGCTCAATTTTTGGGGACACTGTATTTTCGTACCACCAAGATTCCAATTCACCCGTTTTCGTGCCGTTGTTATCCGTTATATTCACCAAAGTGCATGTGACATTGCGGGGCACGCATCCAAGTAATACTGCCAATCTATTGAAATCGTTTTCTTTGGTGATAAATCGCGCCAAACTGCATCCGTACCCAGCCGAGTCGCGTAGTTCCTGGAAGACTGTTCTTCTTACATATTAGCTTATATCTCTTATCTTATTCACCAGAAGCATCTATAGCGGGGCCATGTTTCCAAGATATTTGCAAGAAAAAAATGCTTCTATTTATTCCGATGGATAAATGCCGTTTGTACAATTAAACTATGAAAGGTGCAAACAGCGACCGTAGAATTGAAATCAGTTTCAGGACTAGATCCATACAAATGTATCACGTGAACCGCCACTGTGACTTAGGGTGCTTGGCTAGAAAGCGACCATAGAACCAAGTTGTTGGATCAGTAGCAATTAATTTGAAGTGCCGTGTGATGTATGGTCAAAATCAGCTCATAGAAAAGGAGTGAGAAACCTAAACTCAGTTGGATCGTTTTTAGGCTAAAGACGTTTTGCTGGAATTAAGAAGTCATTAATGCCGACCGTATATAGATAGCGACCGTGTATAGATAGCGTTGATGAGCGGATTCGAAGTGTTGTCGGGAAATGCAAACTTTGTATCCGCATTTTGAAAAAAGAGGGGGTCCAGACTGAAATGGGTCGGATACCTGTCTGAGAAAATAATGATAAAAGAGGAGATTCTCGTAAAGGAACATGTGACAAAAGTTAATATAGAGTAGATGCAAAGGACGCTAAAGAAAAGACGCTTCTGGCAAAGGAACTTCCTGGACATCAGTGGCGGACCGAGAATGGGTCGCGAAATTGTTTTTTTACATAGGAATAACAATGCGCAAATGACTCGTTTATATTCTTGGATGATCAAAATAATTTTTGAAATTTTTTGAGAATTCAAATTAGCCTTGTAAAATAACTTATTCAAGGCTGTAGCCAGCATCTTTTCTGCAGTTTTGGTGACATGGGCAGGAATAAACTCCTGGAAAAATTCCGAAAAAAAATTCGAAATCCGCGGCTAAGCCACGCCCTCGTTCGAAAAAAAAACTATTGTCGTCCTGCTTTCCCCAAACGGAAATCCTGGGAGTTTTTCATCACTGTTGTACAGGTAGAACACCAGAATTGAATACCATTTGGAACTTCTGGCAGGTATGAGCCAGTAGGTTTCGTAAAAGTACAAGCAATTGTCACTCTCTGATTTTATCCCCAAACAAAAAAAATTAACAAAGTAGATATGAAACTGTGTTTATTAAACATCATCATTTATTTGAGAAAACGAATGCTTGTCATCTTGCCTCATGTTGTAGGTGCCCTCCCTCTTCGTACAAACCTTTTCAATTTTCAGTTGTTCGATTTGCAAAATGGACAAAAAAGTTTGGAGATAACCTTCTTTGCCTACCACTTGGGATATTATATTTTTTTATGAAAGGCAAACCTGACTGACTTGCACCTGTTCTTTAGTAAGGTTTCGAGCCAATGTTAGGAAGGCATCTCCAACTGTATCATGAATCCTAAATGTGATGTTTTACGGTCCAAGATATGAGAACAACGACCTACTCACGTTACAACTGTAAACATGAATGAAGGGTATCTGCCTTCCAGGAGTTTTGTCACATTCTTTTCTATATTCTCATGCCGCCGTTCTTCGGCAGCCTTGTTTTTTGCTTTTTCATCCTCACTTGTAAGTAGATTCTTATACTCTTCTTCCACTTTTTTCCAATATTTTAGATATTCGTAGATATATTCTCTCGTATAATTGGAGGCGACATTGAATGCAGTCCATTCTATCGCAGAGTCGTATTTCTGCAAATTTGCTGATTTTTTGGGAAGTTTTCTCTGTTTCAAAAATTATGTAACTTTCTTGAAAATTTCTCTGGTTCACATGACTATCTGACACATATACGGATCACTATTAACCAAAACACACTTTGGCACTTACCCGGTATAGGGTGATATCTGTCATTGCGCCTTCAATCAAATCCTGATAAGGTTCGCTCACATTAACGAATCCGTAATCACTGCTTCCCTGTACCATATCAGAATAATCTATGTGATAACGTGAGCATTTTACACTAACAGGCCTGCCGATAAATAATGATCCAATTGTATCCTTATAGCCAGCGAAGCTCTCGCTGAGTTTCGAAGCCTTGTCCTTTTGATCTCTCTTTATCTCCTCCTCATATCTACTGGGGTTGCAGGGTATTCCCGTCTCATTACTTGTCAGAGCCAAGATTGATTGGAACTAAAGGAAGTGATGATGTTGTTATAAAATATTGTGTGTGATCTTACCGCAAAGATCAACAGCTGATACATCCTTGTAGAGCTGTCAACGGCAGTGAGCGCGTTTTATACACAATGCCTCGTTCACACCCACGCTTGTTTGATAATTGAGAGTTGCACTCTAAGTCAACCAACGCGTTTTCTATAGTACTAAAGTGGGCCGGGGCAGATACAATAATAAGTTTAGTTGTGACTAAAAATATCTACATAAATTTCCCACTCTTTTTTGCGAACAATTTTGTGAAAACGCATTTCAAAAAAGGAAGACTGCTTGAGGGCGATAAACTTCACTAGTCATTCAGCATTATTCGAAAGTCCTGCCATAACCATGCGAGATTATGAGGAAGTTTTTTTTTTGATTTACTACGCTTTTGCTGCAAAATCCTCCCACCTTCCCACGAAGACTCATTCGGATAATAAGACTTCACTCTACTACCCTCTCGAAAAAAACTTGAATTAGTTTCTCTAAACAAATTTCACAAAGGATCGTTAAAATTAACAGAATACACACAGTTTTGGAAATAGGACATCAATAGTGATGTAACTACAAACAGCATAGCTTCTCAATATCAATTTTGACAGCAACAAAGCAGTAGTCTCAAAATTTGTCAACAACTCCTCCAAGTTAGGTCGTCAAATCAAAAAATATGTAATCTTACTACGAAAAAAATCCCACCCCTAAAACCAATTACTGACTTTTGTCATGGTATTGGCGAGGTCTAGGCAAATGTAATCAATTGTTATTTTTTGAGCAATAAAATTTTCGGCAACGAACACATGCTCGTGCCGCTTGAAGGCAGCGTCCCTGAAAGCCACAGGAACTGAGATTTTACGTTGCAAAAATAAACCCTGCAGATAATCTATCGGTGAGGTGTGGGGCGAAAAAGCGCATCTGCAGGGCCACTCCAAAGTTTTCCGGACTCCGCCCACTTTCTGGACCCCGCCCACTCACGTAATTTTATGCGAACCGGATTTGGAGAGCTTCGAAAAGAGCTCAATTTAGTCATTTTAATGCGCTGAGAAGAGAAAATATGATTTTAGTCTGACGAAAAGGCTCCGAAAAGGTAAAAAACCAAGAAGCGGAATTTTGCCGGAACACTGCCTCTGAAAGACCATACTTATAAGAAAGAATTATCTTACTGCTCTGACGGAGAAAAAACAACGAAGTCAAGCATTTACTCAACGTATCCTCAAATTCTTACGTGCCACCTAAGGACCGTCAGTTATAAGAACTGTCCCAAACGTACAAACATTTTTTCCTGTCGATCAAACATACAGAGCGATGTCTATTTGAAAGAACGTGCCTTACGTGCCGCCTACACCTACAGACCATATTCACGAGAAAAAGCTGCCTTACGACTCCCAAGAAAAAAACATGAAGTTGAGCATTACTCACGACATATTCTCAAACTGCCCTACCTGTCACCTGAGGGACGTCAATCATAAAAACTGCCCAAAGGTGCAAAAATCAGTTTTCTGTCTAAACAAAAAGCCTTACGTGCGCTTAAAGACCGATATTTATCTGTAAACAAGGCGCCAGCGGGACTCAGCAGCACGAGCAAAAGCAAGGGTGGTCAAAGATAAACGAGTGATGGTTTCAAGTTGGCATCATTTCAAAAATAGTAGCACGGTATATTTGACCAACCCATTTTGGGTTAACACGCTCGAAAAATACAGTTCGGACGTAACACACTCGGCGACCCGATCTCAAATTCATTGCAACAACATTCAGGATTGAATTTCGAAATAAAGGCTACTGCAGGACGAAGGCGCAGAAGCGGTATTAGCTAAACGGGCGCGAACGAGGCCCGCGCGTACCCTCACTATTGTAAATCCTCCTCTAATGCGCTTCGCGGCTAACAAAACCGCGTTCGCCCCTAAAGATATTGCGCCTTCGTCATGCAGCAACCTATACATGTGATACTATTACGAAAACATGCTTCGGTGACTCGTTATGAAGTTTGATAGTACTCCAAAGCGCATGCCACTATTGGCAGAAATTCAATGCCATAGGTATATTTCATCATAATACTCCGTCTGCCTCTCCTCATTTGCAATGTCTCACGGATCTGGGAGAGCCGAATGGTAAACGAGAAATAGTTGTATGATACGTTGATACTTCATGGGTAGAACACTAATGTCGAAGAATGTAGAAGGGTCCCGCCCGGACTTCTTACAAAAATGACCTCCATACATTTGAAAGGCGCATTTGTTGCAGATGACCGCCGCGGCGCCCATTTCGACGACATGTAGCCCTCTATCCACTTCTACCTATCAATTCTCCCATTTTTGCCAAAAGTATGATGATATGATATCAGGTTGGCAGATAATTTTAGATAACATAGGGGTGATATCTGAGGTGAATATAATGTCCAGGAGCTGAGATTTAAGTAAGGTATTTGTAAGAGCCAGCAAAGATTATTTGCAGATAACTACTCATTGTTAAATGCTATTTCTTTCAGTGCATGGTATCTTGTTTCTACTACTATCTGAATCACGCCAAAAGTGTTTGAGAAAATGGAAAATTATTTGCTAGCTATCTTCAACTGCAAGCATACGACTGTGCACGTATCTGCCCCAAACTACTTACTAGAGACCCCTAAGGATCGTTAGTCTTAAAATCATTGTATCTCAGGTGGAAAGGGGAGATAGAATGCTTTGTATACAAAGTTCGCTCCTTTCCTGTTTCCAAAACCCTCTTCTGAATTGTTGATTGAGGTTTCTCTAGCTAGATCAGACAAAAACTACGGTTTTGACGTCGCTATATTTTTTCCTTTCAAAAAGAATGCTTTCATAAAAATTAGGGCTCCGTCAATTGTAAAGCAAAACAACAGATAGATTTTTGTCAATGTTTGCACAGAGTCTGATGAATGAATTTTTATTTCATGTAATTGTGTTCGATGCAAAGCTTTGTCCTTTTCTCAATAACGATTTGCTGACATCGGATGAGCGAAAACGAGACCGATTTAGCGCGGACAATTTTGCTCACCCAATGCTGGCAAGACGAGGAAAGGGCAAAGCTCTTCAATAAGCTAGTGCTATTGAAACAAATTGAAGCTATGCTTTAACTCCGATGTAGGTTTGAGGCAGTGGCGTACCGAGGGGGGGGGGGCGGGGGGGGCGCGCGCCCCCCCCGAGAATGGGTCGCGAAATTTTTGAAAGTTACTTACATGAGTTATAAAAATGTGCAAAAGACTTGTTTATACTTGTAAGTAATTAAAATAATTTTTAAAAATTTTTAAAAATTCAATTTAGCCTTATAAAAAAAATTTTTTTCGGGGGCGTGGCTGACGCCACGCCCCCTTTTTCTGAAATTTTGGGGTCCTGAGCCCCCGAAAATTTCAGGAAGCATACCAAAAAATTTTTCGGAGTGCGTGGCTGACGCCACGCACCTTCATCGAAAAAATTTTTTTGTCGCGCCCCCCCCCGAGCCGAAATCCTGGGTACGCCACTGGTTTGAGGGACCTTGCACGCACGAGTATAAAAGAGATATAAAAAGCTTTCTTACAAATTTCGCTTGTTAGAATCATCTATCTGCAGCATTATCCAATACAACATATGCCGAGTCCACATTACATGCTCATCAACGGTCATCACCATGCATTCAAATACTAGGCTGTTCAAAAAGTTCTGTCCGATTTTCAGTTATTTTCTTTTAGCAGCTATTTCCTTAGGATTTTGCCGTTGTCGCAGTATTATGAGTAATATATAGAAGCATTTCTCTCGCTCTTTTTAATGATTTTTTTCGCTCTTTTCAATGCTTACCAATCTCCAAAAATAGATTTCCACTGAGGAATCTTCCAAGCCTTAAGGTTGAGTTACCAAAATGCAATCATGCTCAAAAAATAAGTTTTTATAGCGAGAATTCTGGCAGTACTTAGCAAAGTTATATTTGAATAATGATTAAGGGTGTAATGGACTAACTTATGCACACTTTTTCTCCCATATAAAAAATGTTTTACTTTTAGAATTTTTCTCAAGAATTGAAGACAAGCCACTTATTCAAGAAGCGACAGCAATATACGCATAGCGAAAAGTGATGTATTCAATATTGCATATGATATTAGGTCATTCGGAAAGTTTTTTCGTTTTCGCACCTCCAAATTTATACGAGCACAATTTTTTCCAGATTCAACCTTTTTCCATCAAATAAATTGCATTGTGTTCGGTAAATTTCTGGTAATACTCATCGTCCTCTTGTATTTTTTCTTGAATAATAATTTCAGAGGAATCTGTCGGGGCGCAGCTAAGCTCCGCCTGCTGCTCTCCCGTGAGCTGGCCGAGAAGGTCAGATAGGAGCCAGTGACCGTCTACGACCGCGCCCCGTAAGGCTGCTTAGCCAGTCTCCCCCTTCCCCTCTATTGTAATATATGTAGATAATAAATATATAATACCAACCTGTACCGCTACCCATCAGGAAAGGGGGTCGCGAACCCTTAATCCTGACATGGAGGTCCCAGGGAAGATTTCTTTTTTTTTAGAATTCTACAATAATTTTTTTCTCTCCTCAACTTTTGATATGGGAAAAAAATTCTTACTCCCCCCCCTCTCTACAATTCAATCGATCGCTATGGACGTCACCAACGAACAATTGCGTGTGAGTGTTTTTTTATGTTGCACGAATATATTAGCTGTGTGAGTGAAATATCTAATCTTTGTGTGAGTCAAATATTTAACCTTTTCAGAAAGAAAAAAATTATTAAATAAAATAAAATAAATTTAATTCTACAGTCCTGCGAACAGTCCCATTTTGTCAAATCTTTCTTTCGTAAAGCGCTCGCATTTTCCGTGATCCGTGATTCCATGAATCCGTGAATCCGTGAATTTAAAAGCGCATTTAGCAGCCGTGATCCGTGATCCGTGATCCGTGATCCGTGAATCCGTGATCCGTGATCCGTGATTCCGTGAATTTTTGTTAACTTTCTTATTTTTCTTTTTTTTCCTATAATTAGACAATGGACTTGTTCGCAATCGCTAGCTTAAAATAAAAAACTGCAGTATTAGACCCAGAAAGATAAATCTGCTGGCCCACT